GAAATTGGTTTGTTCCCCCCCCCCCCCCCCCACCCCATTCATTTTAGGTGTATGGACCCAGGAAAGTATTCCAGTCAGGACCTGCTTTGGCCCTTTAATAGGACAAGAGAGTCATTCCTTAGAAGTTGCAGGCTGGACTGACAAATCTGCCAATCACATCTGGAAGGTATGTCTGTGAACACTGCTCTGCGCATTTAAGTCTCTGCAAAGCATGCATGTTTTTCCATGTTTTTTCTCTTTTAAACCGATACAAATACAGGAAATGACCTGTTGGTTTGCCAGCATTCCAGGAGGCTCTTTACTTTTTGTAGTGGGCTGACAACGCTGCCTCTGCTGCACTGAAATCCCAAGCAGTGTTGTCAGCCTTGCGCAGTTCTCCCTGCTGAACTACAGAACACAATCTTCTGTTATGGAGAAGAGGGATTTTATTCTCCTTTCAAAAACTCTCACTGAGGTCCATGTATGTTTTAACAGAGAGCCCTTCCAATATGTTAATTAGGTGAGTTCCTAAACCATGAGGATTTGTTGCTTAGCGCTTCCCTGCTTTAACGTCATTGGCAGCCAGTAGGAGGAGTGTTGTGCATGTGCCCGCCCCCCACCATTGACCGCTATGATTGGCTAAGCTGGTGGTCACAGTTCCAATGTTTCTCATGCGTACCAGAAAACCAGGAGGTCTTTAACCACTTGCTTTCTGGAGCAATGTCTTCCTAATTGTACACACATGATAAAATCAGATTTTTTGTTTTGTTTGTTTGGGATAGAAAACAGCTTCAAACCCCCAACAATTATATATTTATTGAAACGGAGACCCTGTAGAATAAAAAAATGCTAGTTGTAATTTTTTATGTCTCATGGTATTTGCGCAAATGTTCATCAAACCAGTATTTATAGGATAAAATTAGATTTAGTTCTCAGAAACGGAATATAATGCCCAATTTTTGGCAAAATATAAAAGACGGGGTCACGTCGGGTAAATAGACACCAAGCATGTCAAGCCTTAAAATTTTGTGCGTCCATGAAACCGCAAAAAAATACAATACCCAAAATCTCCCATAGGTGAAGCTTTTACCGCTCATCAGTTTAGTTACCACTGATTGATGGCCCTAGAATCTTTGCTCTCATTCCGACGTTCGCGGCGATATGTAAAGCGTGGCACGGTTTCACATGTACAGTGTAGATGCACCCGACTCATGTTTGTGCTTCTATGTACGTGGGGGGGGGGACTTTTTTTTTACACTTTATTGCCATAGCATAGGGGGATAACAAGCCGTCTATGTAATGGCAGGTCCTCTTTATGGAGACATCAGGGGTCTTTCAGACCCGTGTCACCTAGGGACCCCAAAGAAGCTGTGAAGCAGAGATCTTCTTCTCCTGGCTCTAAGAGCCGGAGAATGTGCCCAGTGACACCAGAAGTGATGTAATACACACCACTCCAGGGGTTCAGTGATCAGAGGAGAGATTAGCGGCTGGAAACTTGCTGATCTCCCTCCGATCGATGCGGGGAGACCCGCTTTGCCGGTCCCGGGCCCACACAGGGGACAGTGCAGCCCGGGGTAGCC